CAAGAGGAGAAAAATAAAAAGAACTATCTATGAATTTTACCTGTAGCAGTCATTACTGTGGTGATTGCCTAATGGTGCCCCTACTTCCCTCATTTCTTTTATATTTATTAATTAGAATTCATTTATAAGGAAGATAAGCTGTTCCTTATCCTCCACTTACATATTTGATTACATATATCTATATCAATATAGACTCATGGACATTTATTGTATTATATTAGTTATAATCCAATAACAGCGTTATTTATTTCATTGATCAAAATGTCCAGCTTTGGCTATTGGGAGCTCCTTCCTGGTGGCTCCTCTAGCCTTTTGACCTGCCCTCACACTTTTTTTTGAGCACTTCCTTATTTTCTGATGTTGCAAGATATTCTAGACTCATCTGTTCTTTCACTGCCCCAGCCCTTGAATTTAGCCTCCCTGGTTCCTTTTAGTGGAGAATGGTAGTTAGAAACCAAGATCTGGATACTAGGTGTATTCACTGCTGCTCTTATATTATTGAATCTAGGCTTTCTCAGTGCCAGAGCTAGGAGATGAATGTATGTATCCTAATCCATGCACACACATAAATCTGTATTCTCTATGTCTTTATACATATGAAAAACTGTATTGATACTGATATTCAGTAGTAGTTTTATTCAGTCTAGGTTAGAATAGGTATTTTTATTTATTTATTTATTTTGGATAGGTTTTTGCTGTAGAGCATGTGCACTTGCCAGAAAGAGAGAGACAGACAGAAAGTGAGAAATCAGCCCCCAGGGGGAATGGCCATGCCGCAATCCCTTCTCCTCCATTCTCCTCTCGGGATCTTGGGCATGTATGCACACACGCCTGGCGTGAGTTTAAGCCACCGGATCCAGGACTCAAACTGCGGTCGACTACTTGGGAGTCCGGCGACATAGCCATTATGCCATCTGCTGTTCCCTAGAAGAGATATTTTGACAAGATCTTGTTGTGTCCAGGTCCTCTTACCCCATCTTGCTAATTAGCTAGGATTACAGGCGTGCACAACCATGCCTGCTTGGTATTCAGGTCGGGGGGCCTTCCTTGTGGCTTCCAGCCTCCCAAGCAGTGATGCCAGTGCAGAACTATAGCAGGGCTGGGTTTGGATTTTACTTTATTTCTGCTTTATGTGATAAGACTTGAAACTCTTCGGAATTTTGGTAAAAAGAAAATACAGTTAAAACAGATATTTAGTGTTTGTCTAGTGTTTAACTTGACTTTTAGTGACATTAAGCATTAACTACTTGTTTTTGTGTCTATAGAACAATGATGTTCCCTATGATGCAAATCACCGAAACCAGCTTATGGAGCTCCGACACTATTGTGAGGTATCTGTCTCGCAAATGTACTTTATGGACATATTAAGCTAAAATTTTCTTTATTACATTTGATGTCATTGTACCATTTTGTTTTTCATGCTGCAGAGCTGACCTAGCTGGTATCTCATGGGTGAAGACACTGAGTGAAATACTGTTAGTACAGATCTTGTGTACCATTTTTGTGTGATTATTACACCATTGTGACACACTCTAGTTAGAGCACTATCCCAAGGTGAAAATTTTGAAGTCAATATATGGTTTCCTCCACAGAGCCCCCGTATCCTTGCCCAGCCTCCTCCAACACAGTCTTTTCTCATTTCCTTTTTTTTTTTTTTTTTTGGAGGGGTTTTCGCTATAGGGGGGCTGTGCTTGCC